ATCCTATTGTTGCAAAGAACTGGTTTGTTACATCCTTACTATATTATTTTTATATTCCAGCAGATTTTTCCAAGCAACCTTCTCTCGATAAAAGTAGGAGATAAGCATTCATTTGTTTGTTATGGCAAAGAGATTTCTCAAACAGAATCCTTGCACTGAGAGAGATGATGCAGGCTGCCTCTCTGGTTTTACAGGCATATTTGACTTCCGTGTTGGCCACTATTCTCATAAATTGCTTTCCAATAGAAAGCATAGCAAGGTTCTTGGTAAGCAATCTTCTCCATAAAATCTGTATGCTATAACTATTGAAAGTTTTAAAAAAATTCCCCTCTTTTGGCCATTAAAATGATACTTGAACGTGTTATTGTACTACTGCTTCTTCTTTTGAAATGAAATTTTTATTAGGAATCAATGAAAACCTTTAGGAAGCTAAAGGAGAATCTGTAGGCCAGGATAGATCATTCACTTCTCGCCATTTTGACATGCCATGAGAAATGGATTCATACTTCCCCTACTATTTGTATTGCGATCCTTATTTGACTAGCTTGTCAAGGATGCCAAAGATAGGAGCTCATTGTTTTATTTTCTTTGAAACTTCACCATTTCTTATAGTTCAATTTTTTTTCTTTCTATTGTTACCTTTTATGGAATGAAATTAATGACTTCGTCATTTTCAGTTTCTATTAGGTCCTTAACTATTGTTGATTTATCTTGTGCAGCAACTGAACATTCAAGGAAGAAACTTGATTTTCCCAGAAATTCTGCAGTAAAACTTGAAGAAGTAGATGCAAATTTGCACAAGGTAACTAGAATGACACAAGTTCTTCTATAAACCTATTCTTTCTGGGCGTACTTGTTTATTTTTTCATTTAATGGATAAAGTAAACTTCTGTGGCAATATCAACAATGTAACTGTATATGTTCTTTAAGGTGGTTGTTGTAGGAGATGGTATTGAATACAGATGTAGAGTCAATGATAAAAAAGTTCACAGCTTTTTAAAATATATATATTTTTTAGCCTCTCTCCAAAAAAACATTTAATCCATCATATATGGTAGTCAATTTTTCTTGAACAACCAAACTCTTAGTGGTATTATCCGAATATTATGAGAGTTAGTAAGATTAGTCTGCTTTTTTATGGGAATAAGGTCAAGTACTTGTGATTTCAAATCTTCTAGATTGAAAATAACATAACGTTAACTGCAAAACTTGTTTTAAAAGATCGAACGGTAGCCACTACGCTAGAAATGATTTGTATATCGAAAGATTGCAGTTCAAAACACTTGATAACTTATTGATTTCAGGATGTCAACATCAAAACAAAAAAGGATACTTCAGGCATGATAAGTGTCAAGACACTCATGGAGGAAGAAATGTCTAGAACACATACAACCAAGATCCATAACAGTAAACTTGAGCGTTCACAATCCGATGAAAATAATAAGAAGAAAAGCAAGAAGAAGTGTAATGAACTCCCACACCATCATATCAGCAATTTGATGAAAGATCTTCAGTGACCAATGACTTAGCTTCGTCTATGATACAATTTTACCATGACAATTATCCATACGAAGGTCAAGCTGACTCTGAACTCGACTCCTGTCCTCTTCCGGGAATTATTACTCATAGGAAGAAAATTCATCTTGATGACGAGCTTTCTGAAAAGTATCTTGTGCTTCAAAAGGCTCTGGGTGACGCAGCCAAGGTTTTCCTCAGTCAGAAGCTCTTAGATTCAAATGAGCTTATCCGCAACAGAGCGTTCCAATCCAAAGAGTTCATGGATGCATTAGAGATACTAAGTTCAAACAAGGAGTTACTTGTGAATCTTATTCAAGACCAAAATTCGACCCTACTGAGACACATTCAAGATATTCAGCATGCTCTTGGTAGTGAACTTTTAGAAGGGACGAGTACTTCCGAGAAAATTGAGGATTCTGTAAGTAGTGACTTACTTCCAAAACAAAACCATCATAAAATTTTCAGGAAGAAGGATAAACTCAAGGGAAGTGATATTTCTCAGGATAGAAGCCAAATAGTTCTTTTGGAGCCAAGCCCAGTAAAAGTTGAGAATGACTCAGTAACTCAAATTCTAAGTTCTTCACCTCTTTCACATCATTGCTTGAAACAAGAAGAAGGTTTAAGAGCTAAGTCATATTTTTCTATTAAAGGAATCAAGAGAAGGTGGGGACGTGTCATGGGTGAGAACAAAAAGGAGAAACATCCAATTTCCATGGACAAACTACTGGATAAAATTTCATATGGGTTTAAAGATTCAGGTGATACTCAAAAGGGTATTGTTTTGGCTAGCAAAAGTTCTTGCGTTTCTCAGAATTCTTCTCAACTTTTTGCAGTTGAGAAGAAAAGGGAGAAGCCAAAGCTGAACATTGAACATCCTCAACATGGAGATTTTGCCAATGAATATCTAAATGAAATGTTAACTGTGAGAGATGAAACGGATAGCTCACCAACAGTCTCTAAATCCTTGGAAAGAGTAGTTTCTCTTCGGGAATGTCACTTATTATCTCCTAGATTTAGTCAAGAAAACAGCGAAGAACTTTTATTGTCACCTCAAAAGATCATATTTTCCTCATCGCAGCAGGTAAATGGAGAAATTCCTGTTGACCATTTAAGCCCACTGAGTCAAAATTTAGATCAAGATGCCAAAATGCTTGAAACTGAATTGAACCAAGAATGTGTTGCAGATGACTTGAAGCTAAAAGGTATAATTTCTTTCTATTTTATATTGGGGTGCATTGAGAATCTTCCTAGATAACTCCTAAATTATTGGTTCTTTTTTTTTCCCTCCTTCTTAAACTCGGTTATAGGAGGTATTAAAATTGTAGAAACATCAGATATCAAACTTTTGGAAGAACATGATGATTTGGATGTACTCTCTGAATCAATTGGCAATGAACCAGGTGTAATGTGTGAAGTATGTGAGGCTGAAGGATCATCTGCATTTGGAGAGCTGGTAAGCTCTTTTCTTCACTAAAATGTGGATACTGCTCTATCACATCCTTTATCATATATGTTCCTTATTATTTCTGTATAAATTGTTTTTTTCAGAAGACAGCAGATGATAAACCACTATTGGTGATTCCATCTTTATCCATTTCACCCGGAATTTTACACGTAGAAAATTCAGAAAACTCTGATTGCATCCTTGAAAAGCCAGATAGGCCAAGTCCAGTATCGGTTCTTGAACCATTCTTCTTGGAAGATACCATCAGTCCTGGGAGCACAACGGCCAATCATGGTAAATGACTTTATGGAAATTGTCTCAATCTTTAACTTGTTCAGGAATGTTTAATATAATAGTTTTCACGATATAACTGCTTTCACTTTATGTTGAAATGTTGGATTATCATTATCTAATGGCCGTATGATCCCAGAAACTTCATTTTATTTCCCTCCAACTTAGGTTTATTTCTGTCTATAAAATTGTCATAGAAGGTTGTTTTTATACATTTGTTACTAAGAAGTTCTCTCCTCCTCAAAAAATAGGTTTTTTACTGGATTTAGGTTCCATGATAATTCAATTATTATGCTAATGTTATTTGTTATTATCACTAGAAATGTGGCTCCATAGATTACATGCATGCTTTATTACCAAACAGTATTAATCATAGGTAACTTCAGAAACAACCTGTTAAGTTTTGTGTTCTTCAGGTCACCCACTTTTCCCACCAAAAAAAAACACTAAAGGTGTGAACCACAGGTTTCACTGGCAAAATTGTGCCCCTTAAATAGATTATGTGCCCCTTAAATAGATTATGTTTCTCCCATGGAGATCATAATATTAATAGTTACAATCATTTGCAGTTGTTCTGGCCCTACAACATCAGCAAATTGATTTCCAAGATCACATCCATTCAACAATTGTACTAACCGCACAAGATTCTGAAGACCAGCCATCAACTTGTTTCGATGAAAAGAAGGCCATATTTGGTTACGTAACAACACTATTACAGTCATCTGGCACGAATCACTCTCAGATTTTAGAGACACACAGTTCATCCTATCAGTTTCTGGACTCATCCGTATTGGAAGAAGTCGGAACAATGTTCAGTCTATCACCCGATGATGCAATGCTTCTCTTTGATTGTACAAATGAAGTCCTCGCAGAGATTAAAGAGAGATTATTTTGTTGCACTTCTTGGGTCCATATCATCAAGCCCAGTAGCCAGGTGATCCTAAGGGGACCAGATTTTATACAAGAAGTCTGTAAAGGCATTGATAGGCATCTTCAACTATCAGAATTAGAAGGTAGAAGTTGGATGGATCTTTGGTCGGAAATCGAAGAAACTGTTTTTGAGATGGCTGATATCATTCTTGACGAAATAATAGAGGAAAATATGGCTTAAATAATTTTCAGGTGTGTAGACATGTTGAAGAGCTTTAGTGTTTACGGTGAAGTTTGATTGCAAGCTTGTAATTAAGTTTGTGAATGAGCGTAAAACAGAATAAGATTGCAGATGAGGTTGTACAGTTTTCAACGTTATTTGTTTTTTGGTTTGGCGAGAACTTCCTCACGATCATTCGGACCAGGAGTATCAAACCTCCCGGCATGGCTATATTGTATTTTCAAATTCTTTCAATTAACCACGTTCAACTATACCCCAAAGTTGATAATTTCAACTAAAATACCCATGTACAACTTTATTTACTCCCGCACATATGGTTTCCCCAAATTAGTTTTTTCCTTCAACTGGAAAAATTTCACGTAAATTTTTCCACGTGCAAACCATATGGAAATTTTCAGATAAATATTTCAACATTTAATGGGAACATTCAAATATTTAACAAAAAATAAGGTAGTAAAGTGCTACAATAAAAAACAATAAGGTATTTAACTGTCAAGAAGAAAAAAAGATTGGATATGTAGGTGCAAAGTCATGTAAACTATAAGGAATTTATTTGCTATTTGCCCTCAATTAAAATATTTATAGAACTTAAATATCTCAACACCTATTTTGAGTTACTAGTTGGATTGCACGTGCAATGCACGTGGTAAAATTTTTAATATTAATTTAAATTATAATTATATTTATGGAAAGATTTGGTATAAATTTAATGAATGTACACAATATATATGAACATAAACTAAAAATTAAAAATGTTTGAATAATACATTTATATTTAAGGATCAATTATGCGATAGTAGAGTGGTTCTATCTACAAGGTGATTGATCAATCAAATACAATAACAAGAATATACCTAAAAGTAATGTTTGAAGATGTGGATGTCAATCCAAGCAAAATCTTTTGACTACACTTTTTGTTTCCCTTTAGATTGATGAATTATAGCGGTCATGAATTTAACCCTTAGAAATTGACTGATAACAACATGAACTTCCCTGTAGATAAATTTAAATCATAGTTAATTACTTAATTGTATACTCTACATAAGGTAATACTCTACTTTAACGAAAATCAAATTCTACAGATACCATGACATATTCCAAAAAGCATCATATTGTTTAGTTTATTTTCACCTGAACTTGTACCTGAGGATTCATCCAAAACAAAGTTACACAAACAACATATTTTCAGTTTTTTCTCTTCCCAACTCATGTGAATATCCATGCTCATTTGCAATGCAATTGAACGATAGGAATCCATTGATCACCTAACCTTGCAATCATGCAATACTTAGTTTGAAATTTTATGAAACACTTAAAAGTTCAAAAGGACATAATTATTATATAAAACTATATCTCATTGACTCCACTCTCTCCAAAACACACATTTACATTTTCGAGTAAGAACTGACAGGATCTCTAGCAGTGGTTATTTCATCAGGTACATCCAAAGAAATCTCACGATCAAACCGTCCAGCTCTCCTTAAAGCTTGGTCAAGTGCATTTGGTCTGTTTGTTGCTCCGATAACAAGAACATAACCAAGCTTCTTCTCAGATGTTTTTGGGAATCATCAGAAGACTGAGTGTGATGTGATTCATCCATGCAAGTCATATGTTGTGTTACTATCTGCCGTTCCATCTTCCTTTGCAGGTTTTCTCGCTTGGAAGCAATTGCATCTATCTCATCAATGAATATGATTGATGGGGCAATAAATTATCTTATAGTTTCTTCAGAAACACCTACAACAATCATGTGCAAACTTAAAATTAATTGATACTTGATATTAAAATAAATTGATACTAAAATTTATCAATGTCATTTAGTCATGAAGTAATTGACAGTAATCACTTAGCATTTCCTCTTACGATAGCAAATCAATTAAAATTAGCTAAATCCTAGACTGTTTCAATAGCTCAGAAATTAGATCAGATATCCCATGGAAGAAAATTATTATGATGCTGAAAACATAGTATTTCGATGAAACATAGTATTTCGATGAAACACAAATACATAGTATTTCGATGAAAAAGCAAGTAAGTAAAAGTCACACTTGTGAAACATAGTATTTTGATAGTACATTAAATCCTCACCATATAGTAGTTGAAATAAGATCCACCTTTCTGTATAAACTGTGCAATAGGAAAGGCATATCTTCAACGTGTTGATAATGAACTGGACCTCCAAACCCTGTAAACCTAAAATTTATACAAAAGAAAACAAAAGGTTGTGAATTTGGCTCAAAAATAATCATATCTTCCTAATTAAACTAATGAAAAATTGCTTAGAATTCAAGCAATTACCATGCAAGGTTAATGCTTATCCTAAAAGTAATAACCTAACCAATGACACTTGTATTGTTTTCTTTTAAGGTTTGTCCAAGAATTAATTTGCATAAGAAATGATGATGATAAATCAAAATGAGCATCAGCAAGAATCTTACACTGATCTGTGAGCAATAGCAAACCTATATAGCATATCTATGGAAGGAAAACTTACATCAGAAAAATGTTTGAGTTCAAAATTTTCGAGATTCCTTTTTCCTGATGTTAGCAAATTCTCTTGGTCCAATCCTGGTTCCAGAACAGAAGGAATCTCGGAGTTACAAATGTCTACTATGCATGTTCCTTCACCAGAGTTGGCAATAGGCTTCAAGTTCCGCACAGAGGGTGCAGAATCATTCAGGCAATGTCTGAATTTATCAGAACATAAAATAGGAAGAAGTTTTAAGAATCGCAAGGAGTTTTATATATAGCTCGCTGTAAAGTAATTGAACTACCTGATTAAAAGCACTCATACATTAGTTGTATATTATTCTTGTTACATATCTTTAATAAACACTATATATCAATTATATATAGCAGACGTTATATCTGCAACCACGCAGTTCATAAGCATGTATGTAAAAGGAACAGATATATAAACACTGCATATCATTATTATTATTATCCATATTTTCTTGGCAGGAGGCAGATACAAAGCTCATTCGAACATTTCAATAACCATGTACGTTCTACCCAAGATGTATAAATTAGAACCTCGCCGCCTTATATAGGATATATTAATACAATGTGCATGAAGTAAATCCATAGCAGCGTACATCAAGCAATTGAAATGGGAATGACAGCCAAACAATATAAATGGGGGTAATTTCTCCACCTGTAACAAAAATTTTCCCGGGGAGGGGGGGGGAATAGATTATATAAATAAAACCCAATTCTCACAATACATTAGAAATATATATGAATTTAATAGCTAAAGAAAGAAAATTAACTGACCCTCAACATTGCTGCTTGCGGCATTAAGCCCTTGATAGTTCAGGCCCAATCAGCAAAATATTTGAAGAACAACTGCATGGAATTCGAAAAATCCATTAAAAAAACCATTAACCAGTAATCTTGCATAACCAAAAATTGACATCCAAAACTCGTAAAATAGCTCACTTGGGGGATGAAGAAGAGAATGCTGAAGGGGAAATGGGAGGGGATTTTGGCGGGAAAAAAGAGAGGGTTTGGGCCTGGAAATTAGGCTAGGGTTGGGGTTTCAGAGGGAAACGATTTGGATTTGGGGAATGCGGGTTTGATTGTGGAGGAGATCAGGGAGAAATTTTTTAAAGTTTGATTCATTTGAACTTGATCCATATTTAGGAACACTTTTATCGACATTTGAATCATTAGGATCAAAATCATCATCGTCTGAATCATCCTCGGAGGAAGTAGAGCCCGATCGTTCAAAATCAACTTCTGAACCATCTGAGCCATAATCATAATCTTCTGAATCATTTGATGGCAAGTCATCACGTTTTTTATCTTCATTGGTCATGGCAACTACCTCAGGAAATACTTTGTGCACATAAATAATGAAATCCTTTCAGCTAGAATTTCCTGGTCCCTATAACGGATTGCAAGAAGGATAAAACAAAGGATTCTGTACACAAAAAATCTGCGAGGACAAGAACATCAACTGTCACTTATTACTTACCTCCCATGTATCCTTAATAGATAAATTACTTCCTTGAAGCTCGTTTAATAATTTAATGCAGTCTATCTTGCAACAACAGGCTGGAAAAAGCAATCAGCATAATATCAAATACGTGAGAAGGGCTAACTTATATCTGAAACATCAAAAGAACGTAAAATTTTAGAAGTTTTGACTTTACTATCTTCACTCAACAGAGGAGGATTTAAGCACTTTTGATGAAAGCCTCTGTCACAAAGTCCATTCCACGTGTTAATCTATACGAATTCAAGAAAATGTTTTACTATTAAGAATGATTCAATTTGACTATTTAAAGAGGTGCAGTGAGATAGAATATAAGATTACTAAAGCATGTGCGGTGGGTCCTTGGAGAGAAGGCAAACACAATTATAAATTATTTAACTAAGCTGTCACTGAAAAGGAATCCAAAATAATTTTAAAAAGAGAAGAAGAAACTTACAATAGGATCAGGTGCATCATCTTCTTTGCACATGATCCATTGAATCCCAGTGTCAAGGTCGAGTTTCATTTTCTCTGCCCAACCTGCATAAGCCTTTGCTGGAGCCCCCTGATCCCGTTCTAGATGCCTAAATTCATTCTCAATCTGCGAAAATATAGCAATAAATAATCTAATATCGATACAACCAATATTAGTATTACTATAAATTTGTAGAGTTAATGTTGAAAACTTGTAACCTGAGATACGATAATAGTGCCACCCTGCCATTGGAATATATTTTCTGATTTCATCATTCCAACGAACTTCTGGGTGAAGTTCTGCATTTCCCACCTGCCATTGGAATATATTTTCTGATTTCATCATTCCAACGAACTTCTGGGTGAAGTTCTGCATTTCCCACTGTAAAAGGGACAAGATCAAAATATATTATCATTCCAACGAACTTCTGGGTGAAGTTCTGCATTTCCCACTGTAAAAGGGACAAGATCAAAATATATTCCTATGTGATTATAAAATTTTATATTAGCTAAATTTTGGGTTATTTCTGTACCTTGAAAGCTTCCTTATCAGTTTTGAAACTGATACCAGGCACATATTTGAGTCAAACATGGAATCCCCTATACATTACAATAAACCATAAACATAATTAAACATTAATATTTAAATTAATAAAAAAACAAACCAACCAACCAAACAAAAAAAGCCAAAAAAAATAAGCACCCAGTCTACATTAAGTGATGTCTGTATACAAGGTGATACATATTCTCAGATTTCCTCAGCATGTTCTAACATATAAATTGAACCCTTGTTTCATAAATCTTAATATGCAAGATCTTTTTTCTTTTAGGGCAAATAACCTGCAAGAAATTGTACATATGAACTATTATACCAGAGCACGCAAGGAAATGTTTACAGACAACAACAATATAGAAGCCCTTACTGAGAGCATAAAACTAAGATAACAATAACGGGTTTTATACCAACATCTTGAAGGTATAATTACTTCACAGATTGCTACAACTTAATGTAGGATAACCGTCAAGAACAAAGAAAGCTTCTTACAGGACAAAGACAGGTAAGAAAAGAAAGCATCTGATTCTCCTTTTGACTCTGTTATTGATATAAGATAACTTTAAAAAGATTATTTAGAAAGATATGTTTAAAAAGGTAACTTTAAACAAAAATACTTTCATTAGTTTAAAGAATTTGATTATTTTAATAATAATTTATTTATATTTGGAGAATACTCCTGTGCAATGATGATTTTAAATTCATATTTTGAAAGTCTGATTAAAAAATTCGAACTGGCAATCCATACATTGAGAGAGGGGGGGAGGGGGGCTGTATTTAGGGATCAGTTCTTACAAGCATAGTATCTAGATTAAATATGTAAGGGAAATAAAAACATAACTTCATATCTACAGTAACGTAAAATTTAAGGAATCAAATGTACGGACAAATATTTTATAAGAAAACGAATTGAATTTGTGAATTCATTCAACTCTTTTATAGATAAAATATTTGAATTTTCGTAAATAATATTCAAATCAAATCTGAACAAATAGTTAGATTAAAAATTAGTGAACTACTTGATAATTATTTGATCAACCTTAAACATACTCATATACCCTTCTCTCTAAACGCTTGAAGAAAAAGTCAGTATATTTTTATATTATTTGTATGTGAGACAGTGTTTAGACTTTTGTGTATGTTGTAATCAACAATAACTTTGAAAAAAGCCAATCCTATTAATACTTCATCATAAAAAATTGAACCATGCTGTGCAGCAACAGCGTTTCCCTAACTAACAATGAAAAACACCATCGTCAGTTCGAATGAGCAAAAGTCGGTACTTATCAGAACATGCAATCTTTTTTACATTGATCACAATTTATTCTAATGTTTTAACATTGTATGCTTTAATTCATAAATTAATTATGCCATCACTATTATATACCTTTTTGTATGACATCCATAGTATTGAAATTAGCTAGCTTTTGTTCTGTTTTTGAATAAATCACATTCCAATTTTCAAATTAGATTTAGGTATAGAGAATAAATAACAAAAGAGAAATTGTATATAGCAGGTTCTCTTTATGAACAACAAGCACGTTCTCACAGGATTTTCACATAAATACCTAGTCTGAAGTTCAGGCTTTTAGTTAGAAACTTTTTCAAGTCTCACATAATTCCAGTTGCTCTTTGTGTAAAATGCTTCACGCTCTGGTACTTAACTCCTTATAGATTTGATTGTGTGCCTATTCTGAACAAAAATGCTTGCTTCGCCCCTGGTTTATGATTCTTGATATACCTGATTCTTTATGACCTGTCACCGTAGTACCAAATATATATCATAGTACTCATGGAGTGCGCTTCTAACACTCGCTTGAAATATAATAGCCCAATTGAAATTTGACTCTGGCACCAGTATCTGACAAGGACGGTCTATATCTAGCTAACTCTTGTCACTGTTTATTGGCATGCCGTGTCATGACAAATCAATCAACACCTACAGTCTAACTATTAGTTCCCAAAATCTCTCTAAATATCAAGGAAAAAAATTACACTAATTCAACCACAATGTGAACTCGAATTGTCTCCTTTATTGATTTCATCTGACTACATTTACAGCTAAACTATATTCCAAAACACACGGACACCCAACAAATTCTCAATCATCTTCGTTCCTCAAGATTCAAAAACCTCTGCTACTCTAACTACACGCTCCAAATTTGGTTGTATTTAACTCGAAGATTATTAATTCCATTTTCTCTTTTTATCAAAGTTTATAACATTTATTGCTTTTGCTTATTCCATCAACATGATAAATAAGCAAGATGATAAATAAAACAAAACAAATTTAGATATAGCAGAAACAAACTAAAGTAAAAGTAGAACTGAGAATTATTTTACTCTTATCTAGGTAACAAAGATAGTTTAAAAAAAGATAGATTGTTTAGTTTTTTAATAACAAAGAATGGGTCAGTCAAGTACTTTTTCGCCATCATTACTTCAGCAGCTAGCATATGTTGTGTTCTTATTTTTTATGTCATATGTAGTCTTGTGTTTTCCTTGTAGATTTATAGTACCAGAGCCTGACAGTCATTTAGGAGAACTCCTATATTTTTTTTGAAATAGGTGAAAAGGCTTTATAGTACCAGAGCCTGACAGTCATTTAGGAGAACTCCTATATTTTTTTTGAAATAGGTGAAAAGGCTTTCCTGTTTTTTGAATATTCCTAGTGATAACTTTAACTACTTCTTTCCAAGCCAATTCCAAAAATGTCATACACAATTACCTTAAAGCAAGTACTAAATTAACCCATCCTATAACCATTTAGAAGGTGTAGTGTCATCTCTTCCATAAAAGAAAGCCAAAACAAAGATAATACTGCTGGCACTATTCTTAAGATTACAATAGTCTGTCGAAAATGTAGAAGAATGCACAACACAATTATTTTGAGACGGAAAAACAATTTGCACATTTTGATAGCAGAGTATTCTTATAGAATTTCCAAGCTTAGATGTGAGGAAGATAACTTACATTTATGCATGTTGCTAAGAACAATTGAAAATTCTCTTGATATGCAATAACATGTAAAAGATAACTGTATAATACAAAGGTCTGTTCAAAATCTTGCATAAGTCTCACTTTCCAAAATTTGCCTACAACCAAGGCTTTGGGTTCAGTTTTATTTATCATTCTTCAACCTGAGACCTTTCTAAAAGTCTGAGTTATCTTCACTAACAGCGATTCACATATAGGTCGTGAACAATCATCCTAGAAGAGAATTTGTACCCTTACATAAAGCAGAAGCAAACATCCTGATCCTTAACAGGGCAACTATTTCTTTACCCTTACCATTAATTCCATTTTCTTCATTCACATGTCTACTACTTTTATGGAATTGATAAAATTTCCTTAGGAAAAATACTGAACAATCTCTGACTTCAGGTACCTAATTAAGTAATTAGGATTAAATTACAGATATATGCAAAATAATGATAATTTTTTTGAAGTTGAAGGAGCTGAAAAGAAAAAGGTGATCTAGGAAAAGGCTTGTATGTTTGCACTTCTAATTCAAAAAAACAAATATACACATTATAGTTCATCAATACATATTATATGCTAAAGAAATCGGTGCCAAATGCTAATGACCATAAATCATACAAGCACAACCTAGAAGAGAGCAGCAAGGCAACCAATCCTCGACTGAATTCTACTAATAAATTCTAAAAAATAGCAATTTCAGACTCCAAAATACAAGCTTTCTAAACTTGGAGAAAGTTTATAACCATTATTTTTAAGGTTATTGCTTTTGCTTATTCCAGCAGCATGATAAATAAGCAAGATGATAAATAAAACAAAACAAATTTAGATATAGAAGAAAAAAACTAAAGTAAAAGTAGAGCTGAGAATTATTTTACTCTTATCTAAGTAACAAAGATAGTTTAAAAAAAGATAGATTGCTTAGTTTTTTAATAACAAAGAATGGGTCAGTCAAGTAATTTTTGCCCATCATCACTTCAGCAGCTAGCATATGTTGTGTTCTTATTTTTTATGTCATATGTAGTCTTGTGTTTTCCTTGTAGATTTATAGTACCATAGTCTGACAGTCATTTAGGAGAACTCCTATATTCTTTGAAATAGGTGAAAAGGCTTTCCTGGTTTTTGAATATTCCTAGTGATAACTTTAACTACTTCTTTCCAAGCCAATTCCAAAAATGTCATACTCAATTACCTTAAAGCAAGTACTAAATTAACCCATCCTGTAACCATTTAGACGGTGTAGTGTCATCTCTTCCATAAAAGAAAGCCAAAACAGAGATAATACTGCTGGCACTATTCTTAAGATTACAATAGTCTGATGAAAATGTAGAAGTATGCACAACACAATTAGTTTGAGACGGAAAGACAATTTGCACATTTTGATAGCAGAGTATTCTTATAGAATTTCCAAGCTTAGATGTGAGGAAGATAACTTACATTTATGCATGTTGCTAAGAACAATAGAAAATTCTCTTGATATGCAATAACATGTAAAAGATAACTGTATAATACAAAGGCATGTTCAAAATCTTGCATAAGTCTCACTTTCCAAAAATTGCCTACAACCAAGGCTTTGGGTTCAGTTTTATTTATCATTCTTCAACTTGAGACCTTTCTAAAGGTCTGAGTTGTCTTCACTAACAGCGATTCACATATAGGTCGTGAACAATCATCCTAGAAGAGAATTTTTACCCTTACATAAAGCAGAAGCAAACATCATGATCCTTAACAGGGCAACTATTTCTTGACCCTTACCATTAATTCCATTTTCTTCATTCACATGTCTACTACTTTTATGGAATTGAAAAAATTTCCTTAGGAAAAATACTGAACAATCTCTGACTTCAGGTACCTAATTAAGTAATTAGGATTAAATTACAGATATATGCAAAATAATGATAATGTTTTTGAAGCAGAAGGATCTGAAAAGAAAAAGGTGATCTAGGAAAAAGCTTGTATGTTTGCACTTCTAATTCAAAAAAGCAAATATACACATTATAGTTCATCAATAC